CCAAGCAGTGTCGGCTGGCGACCCCCAGGGGGAGGGCCTTCTCTGTGGGTGCCCCCACCCTCTGGAACGAACTACCCCCCGAGATCCGGATGATTCCGGATCTCCTTACTTTCCGCCGCGCCCTCAAGACATGGCTTTTCCAGCAAGCGGGCCTGGCCTAGGGAGGATTTTAAATCGGGTTTTTAAATCGGGTTTTTTTAAGAATAATTTTAATTGCACAACTTTAAATATTGGTTTAATTTGGTTTTATTTGGTGGGGGTTGTAAATATGTCTATGTTTTTAAATATGTTGTGAGCCGCCCTGAGTCCCGTTGGGAGAAGGGCGGGATATAAATCAAAATAAATAAAATAAATAAATAAATAACAGCAAACCTGTTTTTATTCTGTTGATTGTGATCTCCATAGAGAATTGTGTTCAATTGCTGCTGTTCCTGCCTGTGGTGTTATATTACAGTTTTTGTTGCTTGGTGTATTATGCCCCCATACTATTTGGAGTTTGCATATTAGTCTTTGCATGTCAACGAAGAATTCTCTAATCTGCAGTTCAGTGCCAGTAACAGAAAACAAATGCATATGTTGTGCAATTGATTTATTATAAAAAAAAAGAGGTTGAGACTCTGGAAAGAGTGCAGAGAAGAGCAACTGGGATTATTAAAGGCCTGGAGATTAAAATATATGAAGAGCGGTTGCAGGAATTGGGTCTGGCTAGTCTAGTGAAAAGAAGAACTAGGGGTGACATGATAGCAGTCTTCCAATATTGGAGGGGCTGCCCCAAAGAAAAGGGGGGGTCCACTTATTTTCCAAAGCACCTGAAGGCAGGACAAGAAGCAACGGATGGAAACTAACCAAGGAGAGAAGCAACCTCGAACTAAGGAGAAACTTCCTGAGAGTTAGACCTATTAACCAGTGGAACAACCTGCCTCCAGAAGTTGTAAATGCTCCATCACTGGAAGTTTTTAAGAAGAGATTGGACAGCCATTTGTCTGAAACGGTATAGGGTTTCCTGCCTAAGCAGGGAGTTGGACTAGATGACCTCCAAGGTCCCTTCCAACTGTTATTCTGTTCTGTTCTGTTCTATTCCTTATTCTATTCTATTCTACATTCTATTCTGCTCTATTCTGTATTCTATATTCTATTCTACATTCTGCATTCTGTTCTATTCTCATTCTACATTCTATTCTACTATATTCTGCATTGTGTACTATTCTGTTCTATTCTATTCTATTCTATTCTATTCTGTTCTGTTCTGTTCTATTCTATTCTATTCTATTCTATTCTATTCTATTCCATTCTTTATTTCTATTCTATTCTATTCTATTCTATTCTATTCTATTCTATTCTATTCTATTCTATTCTATTCTTACTCTACTCTACTCTACTCTACTCTACTCTACTCTACTCTACTCTACTCTATTCTTCATCCCTATATTCTATTCTATTCTATTCTTCATCCCTATATTCTATTCTATTCTATTCTATTCTATTCTATTCTATTCTATTCTATTCTATTCTATTCTATTCTATTCTATTCTATTCTTCATCCCTATATTCTATTTTGTTCTGTTCTACTCTACTCTACTCTACTTATTCTATTCTATTCTATTCTATTCTATTCTATTCTATTCTATTCTATTCTATTCTATTCTATTCTTCATCCCTATATTCTATTCTATTCTATTCTATTCTATTCTATTCTATTCTATTCTATTCTATTCTATTCTATTCTATTCTATTCTTCATCCCTATATTCTATTTTGTTCTACTCTACTCTACTCTACTCTACTCTACTCTACTCTACTTATTCTATTCTACTCTACTCTACTCTACTCTACTCTACTCTACTCTACTCTACTCTACTCTACTCTACTCTACTCTACTCTACTCTACTCTATTCTATTCTGTATTTATTTTGCTTCTGGAGCAGCTGATATTCTTGCCTCACTTCATTTTGAGTTGTTTATATGTTTCTACTGTGCCTAAGCGTCTAGGGTTTACTTGATTGCAAAAGAGAGCAAAGCAATAAAAAACAAATTGCTAATAAACTCCCGTTTTATAGCGGGGGAATGATAACGAGATATAGCACAGCCTTGGTTCTCTGAATCAAGCAATTGGGCCTTGGAAATGTCCTATTTGTGAATCTGTTTCACAAGCTTGCCCTCACCTGCATTTAAAGGAAGCCTTGAACTGAAAGATTTAATATTTATAACAAGTCATTATTTTGTGCCCCGTTTTATAGGAACTTGGAATAAAGCACCCGCTACATCGGAAAAAGCTTCAACTTGCGCTTCAGGCTTTGGGTTCAGAAGAAGAAAACAACCACGGAAAATTGGACTATAATTGGGTTACACGTACGTTCCCTTCCCTTTTTTTAAAAAAAAATATTCCCCTTTTGCCATGTTTCCCAGGTTTTAGAGAGGATTTACAGGTGTACCCACTTCACTGTGTTACGAGAATATTTGTATACATCGAAACTCAGCTTGTTTGCACAGTCAGCTAGATGCTTAGTCTGGATTTGGCTTTTTTAATCCAACTATCAAGTCCTTTCCAAGGTTGTTATGACTACCTCTGCTTATCCTAGCTTCTTGGTAACTAGGTAGCTTGGTAACTAGGTAAGATTATCTATGCTAGGAAGGAATGGAGTTTTCTGTCCATTTATGTCAGGGGTAGGCAACCTTGGCTCTTTTATGACTCGTGGACTTCAACTCCCAGAATTCCTGAGCCAGAATGGCTCAGCTTGGAAACCTCTCCCTTTCCCCTCAGCGTGGCTGGCTCAGGAATTCTGGGAGTTGAAGTCCACGAGTCATAAAAGAGCCAAGGTTGCCAATCCCTGTTCTAGTGGCTTGCCTTGTCAATATTGGTGGGAGGGGATTTTGGGAGATATGTACAATATGTAGACGTTGTTTATCTCTATGTGTCTATCGATGGCCAATTTGTCAGACTGGCAAGCTTCCAGGAATTCTCTAGCACACGGGTCCCCAACCCCCCAGTCTGTGGACCGGTACCGGGCCACGGCATGCCAGCAACCGGTCCGCGCAAACAAGCAAAGCCCCATCCGCAGGATGCAGGCAGCACACAAGACCACGTACCATCTGGTCCGCGGAAAAATCTCTCTCCACGTAACCGGTCCCTGATGCCCAAAAGGTTGGGGACCTCTGGTCTAGCATTCGTGGGCTTGGCTTGGTCTAGGATGCGCACCGTTTCCCCGTTGAAACGATGGTTAACTCTGTCCCTGTGTTGTGAAACTGATGTTTGTCAAAGCAGACGTTCAATAAGTCAAAAGGCCAAAACCAGCAATCAGCACCCAGATGAGAACAGATTAATACCAAGGTTAACATCAGAACAATAATCAAGAAGTAAACAATACCCCAATCAAGGAACTGCTAAACCAGCTAACAGTAAACAGCTCAATTAAGGGACGACAAGATCAGGGGTAGGCAATCTCGGCTCTTTTATGACTGGTGGACTTCAACTCCCAGAATTCCTGAGCCAGCCACGCTGAGGGGAAAGGGAGAGTTTCTAAGCTGAGCCATGCTGGCTTAGGAATTCTGGGAGTTGAAGTTCACAAGTCATGAAGGGGCCATAGTTCCCCCATGCTGGCTCAGGAATTCTGGGAGTTGAAGTCCATGAGTCATAAAAGAGCCAAGGTTGCCTACCCCTGAGACCATTCCCCTCATCACTAACAGGGCAAGCCACTAGAATGTAAACTTGAGAGCAGACCCCGCTCCCTCCTAGCCCTGATGATGTTACCTAGTTGGGTAATGAAACGTCTGCAAGAAAACCTCTGAGCTCAGAGAACACCAAGGACTCCTCACAGAAGGCATTGGTCACCCATGATGTTTCATTAGTTTAATCCACATTTGTAGGGAGCCACTTGTGTGTTTTCCTTCTTTTTCTAGGATGGCTGGATGACATCGGGCTGCCCCAGTACAAGACACAATTCGACGAAGGCAAGGTGGACGGCCGAATGCTTCATTACATGACCATCGTAAGCAGCTTACTTGTTGTGTCATTGACAGATGGTCCTCGACTTACGACCCCAATTGACCCCACGATTTCTGTTGCTCAGTTGTCCAATGAGTTTCACGCCATTTTGGCATGATCGTTAAGTGGATCAACTGCCGTAGTTAAGTTAGTAACATGGTTGTTAAGTGAATCCAGCTTCCCCCTTGACTTTGCTTGTCAGGAAGTCGCAAAAGGGGATCACGTGACCGCCCCGGGACACAGCAACGTTCATAAGTACGAACCAGTTGCCAAGCATCTGAATTTTGATCATGTGACCGTGGGGATTGCTGCAACGGTCATAAGTGTGAAACACGGTCATAAATCCCTTTTTTTGGCGCCGTTGTCATTTTGAACGGTCACTAAATGAACTGTTGTAAGTTGAGGACGACTTTTCCATGTGTTCTGGGTTGTCGTAGTCAATGTGGTTTCAGGTAGCCCTCGACGTATGACTTGTTGCTAAGCAAAGAGAATATTAAGTGAGTCACACCTGATTTTACAACCCTTTTTGCCACAGTGGTTGTTAAGCGAATCACGCGGTCCTTAAGCGCATCAAGCTTCCCTACTAACCTTGCTTGTCGGAAGCTGTCTGGGAAGGTTGCAAATCGTTCTAAAATACATGTGCGTTGTCAAGCATCCAAATTTTCATCGCGTGACTGCAACAGTCATAAACGCGAGGACCAGTTATCAATCACTTTTTTCAATGAGGTCGTAACTTGAAACAGGGTTGCTAAATGAACAGTTGAAAGTCGAGGACCATCCACAGCGCTGTACTAGATCAATGCAACTTCCCCCTCTGATATCTGATTGTGGCTTTGTTCTTGTTGTTGGTTCGTTCTTGGCGCCCACCTCAACAGGATGACTTGTTATCCTTGAAAGTTCTGAGCGTCCTCCACCATCTGAGCATCAAGCGTGCCATCCAGGTCCTCAGAATAAACAATTTTGAACCCAACTGTCTTCGCAGGAGACCGTCTGATGAGGTAGCCGCCACTAATATTCAAATGTCGTATTTATTCATGGTCGTCATTCATTGTAATGACTTTTTTGGGCAGGCAATTTTAAGGTCATTTCTTCCCTAGAATACATCTAAAATTGCCATCTGCCAGGAGTCTTATAGAATTTGGTGTAATGTAAACAGAATGAATGGATGGATGGATGAGTGGATGGATGGATGATGGATGGATGGGTGGATGGATGAGTTGGTGGATGGATGGATGAGTGGGTGGGTGGATGGATGGATGGATGAGTGGGTGGGTGGATGGATGGATGAGTGGATGGGTGGGTGGATGAGTGGATGGGTGAATGGATGATGGATGGATGGATGAGTGGATGGATGGATGGATGAGTGGATGGATAGGTGGGTGGGTTGGTGGATGGATGGATAAGTGGATGGGTGGATGGGTGGATGGATGGGTGAATGGATGATGGATGAGTGGATGGATGGATGNTGGATGGATGGATGGATGAGGGGATGGGTGAATGGATGATGGATGAGTGGATGGATGGATGAGGGGATGGATGCATGGGTGGGTGGGTGGGCTGGTGGATGGATGGATGAGTGGATGGGTGGGTGGATGGATGGATGGATGGATGAGTGAATGGATGAGTGAATGGATGGGTGGATGGATGAGTGGATGGGTGGATGGATGGATGAGTGGATGGGTGGGTGGGGGTGGATGGATGGATGAGTGGATGGGTGGGTGGGTAGATGGATGGATGGATGTTTTAATTTATTGTATTTTTGATTGTCAGAATAACATCACCCCATCAGAAGTTTCCCAGTGGACGAACCATCGAGTGATGGAATGGTTGCGTTCTGTTGATCTGGCCGAATATGCTCCTAATTTAAGAGGAAGCGGTGTTCACGGCGGCTTAATGGTAATTATTCCATTTTGATATCTTTTCTTTAGTCAATGTCTTGGATTTTATTTAGTTGAGTGGTTGGCATCTTCCGGAAGTTTGGAAGGATTTCCATCTTGAGCGTTTTGCAAATTCACGTGGTTGATGAGAAGGTACCTGACACACAAGTTTTAAAATCTTGTTTTTTGTGGCCGCAGGTTCTGGAACCTCGTTTTAACGTAGAGACCTTGGCACAGCTGCTGAACATCCCACCAAACAAGACGCTGCTGAGACGGCACTTGGCCACCCATTTTAATTTGCTGATTGGAAGCGAAGCTCAACAAGAAAAACGCGAGGCCATGGAAGCTCCTGATTATGTCCTTCTCACAGCTACTGCCAAAGTGAAGGTATTGGAAGAAGAATGTTGGTTTCTAGCTTATCTGTGCAGGCTAACTCACTGCTCATTCCAGGAGTTCGGTCCCGATGGGGCTCAAGGTTGACTCAGCCTTCCATCCTTCCGTGGTCGGTAAAATGAGGACCCAGATTGTTGGGGGCAACAGGCTGAATCTGTAAACTGCTTAGAGAAGGCTGTAAAAGCACTGTGAAGCGGTATATAAGTCTAAGTGCTATTGCTATTGCCCTTCCTTCCTTCCTTCCTTCCTTCCTTCCTTCCTTCCTTCCTTCCTTCCTTCCTTCCTTCCTTCCTTCCTTCCTTCCTTCCTTCCTTCCTTCCTTCCTTCTCTATTCTATTCTATTCTATTCTATTCTATTCTATTCTATTCTATTCTATTCTATTCTTATTTCTATTCTATTCTTATTTCTATTCTATTCTATTCTTACTTCTATTCTATTCTATTCTTATTTCTATTTTATTCTATTCTTATTTCTATTCTATTCTTATTTCTATTCTATTCTATTCTTATTTCTATTCTATTCTATTCTTATTTCTATTCTATTCTATTCTATTCTTATTTCTATTCTATTCTATTCTATTCTTATTTCTATTCTATTCTATTCTATTCTATTCTTATTTCTATTCTATTCTATTCTTATTTCTATTCTATTCTATTCTATTCTATTCTATTCTATTCTATTCTATTCTATTCTATTCTATTCTATTCTTGTGGCACAGGTGTTAGAGTGCAGTATTGCAGGCTAACTCTACTCACACTGCCAGCAGTTCGATCCTGACCGGCTCAAAGTTGACTCAGCCTTTCATCCTTCCATGGACAGGACCCAGATGAGGACCCAGATTGTTGGGGGACAAGATGCTGACTCTGTAAACCCCTTAGAGAGGGCCTGTAAAAGTACTATGAAGCGGTACATAAGTCTAAGTGCTTTTGCTATTGCTAATCAGGGCTAAACAGTGAATGGATAAGGTGTCCCAGAGAATGCAGGGATGTGAGGTTGTGGTTTTGCCACCCCCCGGGATCATACGATTGCCCTCCAAAGTTGCTGCATGATCTCAGAAAAAAAAACCTGCTACTCCCATACAACATAACATAAACAATTAGCAGCATACGTTTTTGAGCTCAATTATGGTCGTACTGAAGACTTTCTCTTTCGCTGGCCCTGTCTCTTTCAGCCAAAGAAACTCCCTTTCAGTAACTTTGGAAATTTGAGGAAGAAGAAGCAAGAAGACGGAGAAGAGTATGTGTGCCCGATGGACTTGGGTCAGGTGGCGGGACCTGGATCCAAAAAAGGATTTAAGCAGGGTATAGACGTCAGAATGTACGATGATGACGATCTGGACAGATTGGAACAGGTATCTGTCGTGATGTTTCAGACACCATTTAGAGTTAAGTTGACAACAGAACGATTAATGGGCTGTCCATCACTCTCTGTATCTGTCTTGCCTCTTTCCCATCTTGTGTTGCTCGGTTTCCATATGTTGACTATGTCTTATAAAACCTGATTAACTCCTATAGCAGTGATGGCGAACCTTTTAGAGATCGAGTGCCCCAAAACTGGCCCCGCCCCCGCTTCACCCTCTACCCTGCTCCCGCCCCGCCCCCACCCCGCTTGCCCGCAGGACCACTCACCGCCTCCAGGGCCCGCCGCAGATTGCCCAAGCAGCCCTGCAGTGCCATGGCGGCCACACCCTCTGCCCGCGCCCCACAGCATCAACTGTGCGCGATGGGGCATGAGGGCAGAGTCTTGTCTATGCTGCCTGGCTGCCATGTCCTTGGCTGCGCTGCTCTGCGTGGGCCACTCTCGGGGGCGACTCTCCTCCAGGGGGACTGTTGGTGAGGAGGGGGTCGTGGGGGGAGGCGAGGCTGGGGCAACAGCACGTGTGCCCACAGAGAGGGCTCCGAATGCCGTCTCTGGCACACTTGCCATAGGTTTGCCACCACTGTCCTATAGCCACAATTCTGGAGCTCCCAGCAGTCACTGATCGAACGAAAACATCTTAGGGTACCTACATTTCCTCTGAGGATTATAAGAAACTTAAGTGGTGATGTTTTTGAAGTTACCCCATTGTATCCATCTGACAGTTTTGCCCAAGATGGGCTCGGTTCAACACTTTGTGTGAAGTTAGCACATTTTAAAAAAAACTTTTTCATGTTGGACAATCCCCTCTGTGTCTACGGAGATTCTCAACCATCCAGGTTAAGGTTGTCCCAAAGGAGCTTTTCCAAAGGCTGGATTTTCTTGATTGCTTTTCCTGGAAAACATTTAGTTTTTCTTCCAAGAAGCTTTTATAGATGCAGGAAAAGCTCCTTAGATGCGTGAAAAGCTCTTTTACTTCAAAGTTGCAAATTGCTTCCCAGACTTACTCAAGCCCTGCCTGAAGCTTCGAGAATATGTCTCCAGGGATCCAATCTGGATCGGTCATCGGAACCAGAGGTTTTGTCGTCCGAGCTTTCGGACTTTGTGCTGTAACCCAACTTCAGGGAACATCTCTCTAGCTAGCCCTTGTGTCCAATTTAGCATTGACAGTAAATACAGTTGCATAATACAGGATTTATATGAATGTCACATATTTTTCTTTCCGTATAGATGGAAGATTCTGAAGGGACTGTGAGGCAGATTGGGGCATTTTCTGAAGGCATCAACAACTTGACCGTAAGTCGTTGTTTAATTCGGGGGTCCCCAACCTGTGGTCCGCAGCCTACTACAGGGCCGTGGCCTACTGGCCACCGGGCCACAGAACTCGTGCTAACGCTGCCACTGCTATGCAAATGGGACGCTGCGCGGCGAAAACAGGGCACCACCGCTATGCAAACGGGGCACCTCTGCTATGCAAACAGGGCGGCACATGGCACAAAAACCGGGCAGCACACGGCACAAAAATGGGGGAAAACTGGGCGGTGGGCGGCACAAAAACCGGGCTCCACACAGCACAAAAATGGGGGGAAACGGCTGCGTGCGGCGTGAAAACTGTGCAGCATGCGGTGTGAAAACTGGGTGGCGCATGGTGCAAAAATGGGGGGAAACTGGGCTGCGTGCGGTGTGAAAACAGGTGGTGTGCTGTGCGAAAACCGGGCGGCGCACGGTGGAAAAATGGGAAAACCGGGCGGCATGCAGTGCAAAAAACAGGCGCCGCACCAAAACCAGGCACCGCACGGCATGAAAATGGGCAATGCTAGCGCCCATGCGGCAAAAATAGCACGATGCTAACAAGTGTCACGCGGGTGCTAGCACCGCCCCGTTTGCGTCGCCCATGCTTACGGCTCCCATTTGTGCGTGTGCGCGTGGCTGAGGAATTCTGGGAGTTGAAGTCCACAAGTCTTAAAAGATGCCAACATTGAGGACCCCTGCCTTAGGTGGCCAGTGGGTTTTGTCTGATCTGCCAATTAATTCTCCCACGTCTTCTCTTTCCAGCACATGTTGAAAGAAGATGACATGTTTAGAGACTTGGCCACGTGTTCTCCCAGTGCCAGCATCACAGATGAGGACTCCAATGTGTGACAGGGTCAGCAAGGGACATATTTTTGGCGTCCCGCTTCTGGATGTGATGGACACCGCACCTTGTGTGAAGTAATTTTTGCTTCTGTTTGCAAGAACTGATGGAGGAGAGGGGAGCAATCGTAAGAGGTTCTTATCCATCCAAGTTCTGGTAAATCGATGAGATGGGAAGAGAGGACCTCATAACTCCCTTTTTTCTCTTCTGCGTAGCAATTTGTGCCAACCTTTTTAATAAGACTCTACAGCATAATGTTTTAGCGTCCACAACGTGCCATAATGTACCCTTGTAATTTTCTTTTTCTTCCAGTAATGCAAAAAAAAAAAAAAGGGGGGGAACCCAACTACAGACCCCTGATAGTAGCATCCATTGTCAAAGTATCTGCAGAATTTTTTTCCCCCCGTTTTCCTCTTCAACTCAGCTGCGTAACCTCTTGTGTTGAAAAATCTTGTATGGTTTGTTTTTTTAAAAAAAAAATGCAGTTTTTATGAAAAAGAAAAAAAAATGTATTGAGTACATAATGGGTCGGACGTTTTTATACTGTGATGTAAGGTGATAACTTAAAGCCTAAAAACCCAGCTGGATACTGGAGGAGTCCATTCATCTTGCAAATTGCTCCCGTGGAATTGCAGATCCCGTTTTTGCAAGTGGGATCTGCTCCCTGACATGAGGAATGAAATAATTAAAAAATTGTCCCTGAACGTGCCATGGGAAAACGTGTCACTTTCCCCTTTATAAAATATAACCGTTTTTAATAGCGTTTTAAACTTTAGTTGTTGCAACTGAAAATCTGGAGAGAGAGAGACACACACAACAACGTGTGGCTTTCTACATCCAGAAAGCCAATTTTTCCCCCCTTTTTCCCCAAGTACTGGATTGCAAAACTTTATAACGATGAGGAATTTTAGCCAATTCATGCTATTTTACAGTATTAAATTCAAATACGAACTCTTGCCTTTGACTTACCATTTGTGATAACATACCATATTGAATGTTTATACTTGGTTTTTTTTTAAAAAGATAAAGCATGTCTTTTTTTTAACTATATATTTTTTTAAAAAAATGATCATACTTGTCAAATTAGCCACTGAAAACCATGGGCCGGCCTCTCTCTCTCTCTCTCTTTTTTCCTTTCCAATATCGCTTTCCAATATTTTACTTTTAATTTCCTTTTTTCTCTGGCTAAAACGATGGAGATGCAAAGATTTGGAATTTACTCTTTGAATGATCGGCTGGTGCTATCAAGATAGTGTTGACCTCAACTTTGGAATTGCTGATCCAAAGATTTTTTTGCAAGAATAGCTAATTAGGTTTGGGGCATGTCATCAGGTACCAATGTTAGTGATGGTTAGTGTATCCCTTCCATTGAATCTCATTCATTCAGCTCATGGGATTGTAATATTTTAGATGGGATCTGGATAAAAAGACTTGCAACGTTTCATCTCATCAAAAACAATTTGTTTCCTGAAAGGTTAATTTTTCAATAGTAGTTAACATTTCCTTTTCTGACGAGATTTGGATTCGTTTCTGAGATATGTAAAGTTGAGTTGAAACCGAATTCTCTGCCAACTGGTGCTGATCTGAACATTTCTGCTCCATGCTCATTTATTTATAGTTGGAACCGTGATTAAAATTCATTGCACTCTTGCTCAATACAATAATAGTTTTTTTTACCTTTTTAATGTCTCAAAAAGCTTCCTCAATACGGTCTATGCAGCAAGGACTCCCTTAATAGTTTTCAAAATTTATTCATAGCTGTTTTGGTTCATTGGGTTCCTGAGCCTGTTCAAATGAAGGCAGACAACTTTTGTAAATAAATGTAATTTATATGAATTAAGGAATTAACTTTCCTTAATTAAAAGCAAAACACGGCCCCTACCAGCAGCCCACTCAGGTTATTGGCAAAATTTGTCTTAATTATAAAATTGTGTCTTCTACTCTCTAGAAACAGGTTTTGCACTATTTGGATAAAATACAGCCAGAAAAGCAAGCTCAGATGCAAAATCATGTTAATCCAAAGAATCAAATCACAATGCAACTTTTTTTTTTTAAAAAAAAATAGCTGTCGTGCATTATGAAGAGAATCAGATATATTAATTTTTACTATCGTTTTTTCTGGTTAGGTAAATAGTTATTATTACTACGGGTCTGGGGAGAGTAATATAAGACTCATAATTAAGCCAAGTGGTTTATATAAATGCACATGAAATGAAATATCATTATGGTATTTTATTGGGATGTTTATCTATGAAGAGGTCAGTGGAAGTATATGTATTGCTGTGTTAAATAAATAAAAACCTACTGAAAAATAAAATGAATGACGTTTATTTATTAGATTTTTAAAGATCAGATTTGGTTGACTTCTGATGAAAAAAGGATTTAAAAATATATAATTTTTTTATTGAATTGAAAAACGGAAGACAAAAAAGTGAAAGAAACAATGATCACATGGGCAAAAAACTTTGGGCATAACATAGAATGAGAGAAATGGCGAAATCGGTGGGAAAGAAATTACAAATTGACAATGGCTACTTCGTATAAAGAAAACTTAATATAAAATGTTTTATAGATGGCATTTTCCACCTGTTAGATTAGCAAACCTGTTTAAAAATATGTCTAGAAAATGTTGGAAAAGTAATCAGAGAAGAGTAGCTGCATTTGTGCAGAGTCCCAAAAGCCTTTTTCCTCAATGCTTTTGGAAGATGCACTTTGCAAATGCCTATAGTAGTGGCCAAAATTGTGGAAACCTTTTGGGAAAAGTGTATTTTTGAGGTTTGATGGCTAATAACACTTTTTTTTTGGAGTAGTACCATAAAATTATATATCAATGGAAAGATAATTTAATCAAGAATGTAATGCAACAAAGTTTGTTCAATTATCTGTACTGTATTCTATGAAAAGTTATAGCCAAATAACCAGGAAAAGGAAGCAGAACTTGCTTAGGTTGATCTCGGGTAGCTTTCCTTCATCTGATTGTAGCCAATGAGCATGAGTGCTTAGAGAGCCAATCAGGTGTCATCTTGTTTTGGCAATGAGCCAATCGGATCACAGTAGGATTCAGTGATTGATGTCATGTATTGAAGCTGAGAGGAGGACATGTGTCAGTGTGTTATGTGATGGCTATCAAGTCAGTTGGGTTTTTTTTTGTGTTCTTTCATTTAGTGAGCTTGTAAAACGTCACAAAATTAAAGTCATGGTGCAAAGAGTTGACTGGTTGCCCCGAAAGCGATGTAAAATAGTATTATTAAGTGAACAAGGCTACAGTTATAAAGAAATTAGAGGAAAAATGGGTGGAAACTTAACCAAAGGTGGCATTTCTACTGTACACTTTTTCCAAAAGGTTTCCACAATTTTGGCCACTACTGTAGTTCTGTGTAACTTCATTCACTAAAATCTAATAACTGTATTTCAGGTTATTTATATTTTTTTTTAGTATTTTTTTTTTCTGCATCAATAAATGTTTTTTTTTAAAAACGAAGTTTCTAACTGGTCTTAAGCAGTTTCAACTATAGATGGAGGGGCGTGGCGGTCAGGAAATGTGACATGTTTTCCGTTGATGTGTAGGGAGCGTTGTAATGCAGCTTTGTCATGTGGAAATGCACATGACTTTATATAAATATGGATCTGACTCACTAGCTGGAGGGCTATGCAGCATTTGATAGCCTTCAAGTAACGGGCAGCAGGTTTTGAAATGAAGTTTCATGCATGCTAAGAACTCAGTAACAACGCGATGTGATTGTTTTTCATAGCTGTATTTGTCCAAATGGAGTTTTCATGCGTTTTCAGTAACTCAATATGTAACTTTGATATATGTGTGTGTGTGTGTACACTACCCCTTAAATTAATTCTAGAACTACTTAAGACATTTGAAGAAAAATTGAGGGAAAATTCAATGTGCAGAGAAAAGTTGATCTACTATATATCAGTATATTTTTTATGCAAATCAAAACAGGAACTCCTACTCACAGAAACGTAGGTTGTTCCCGGTTTGTCTGCAAGTCATGATAGCAGAATGCTGAGAGTTACGCAACAGAACACACTCAGGAACTTAACAGTACATGCAAATAATCCAAACAACAGGCTGTGTTTGATCCTATGATCAAAAACAACACAACAAGGATGTGCAAAGCGCTCCATTCATTGAATGGGGGGTTCTGAGAAACCCCGTGTTTCATCCAGGCACAGACAAGTGTAGGGTCCAGATCCAGAACATAAATGTTCTGGTTGGGTTTCCTGCAGTGAGGTCAATGGGTAAAGGAGAAAGTATTTAGAGGTGGGACAGGATAGCATCTGAAGGGAGACGAAGCAAATGAAGGTGTTGGGAGATGGAGAGAAAAGGAGGTGAGACTCTCGAAAGAGTGCGGAGAAGAGCAACAAAGATGATCAGGGGACTGGAGGATAAAACATATAAAGAACGGTTGCTGGAATTGGGTATGTCTAGTTTAATGAAGAGAAGGACAAGGGAGGACATGATAGCAGTCTTCCAGTATCTCAGGGGCTGCCCCAAAGAAGAGGGAGTCAAGCTATTCTCCAAAGCACCTGAAGGCAGGACAAGAAGCAACGGATGGAAACTAACCAAAGAGAGAAGCAACCTAGAACTAAGGTGACATTTCCTGACAGTGAGAACAATTAACCAGTGGAACTATTTGCCTCCAAAAGCTGTGAATGCTCCAATACTGGAAGTTTTAAAGAAGAGATTGGACAACCATTTGTCTGAAATGGTATAGGATTTCCTACTGAGCAGGGGGTTGGACTAGAAGACCTCCAAGGTCCCTTCCAACTCTTCTATTCTATTCTATTCTATTCTATTCTATTCTATTCTATTCTATTCTATTCTATTCTATTCTATTCATTATTCTATTATTGCCTTAAGGCTGAGGGACATGCCTGGAGTTGGGGTGATGTAGCAGGTAAGGAGAAAGGAAGAGGAAATAGGAAGATTGGGAGAGGGATGGATGGATGGGCTTTGTGGATGAGAAGTTCAAGTGCATAAAACTTGTTCTACTTGGACCATGAAAACCCTCCAGAACTGGCCAAAACCTGAAGCCACCAAGATGTTCCAAGTTTCACTTCTGCCCAGAACTTCCAAACCACAACACGTCCCATGGACACAATAAGAGCATATTCTTACAACATAGTATCTAATGGACTTAAAATAGTCTTCTATGGCTTTTTTGGTTATACGACTTGGAAAAGTACAAATTTTATTCTGAGATGCAGACAGCCGCAGAGACAAGGTCCTTTGGAGGTGTCCCCTTGTCCCCATTTAAGAGTTGAGGACATGTAAATAAAATAATTCAGGCACTTAGGAATGCCACTTTGGTGACAAA